ATTGTTGAAATGAAAAAATATGTCTGACTAGTTTCTGCTTAAAATAATACTTTCAACTCAGCGCAGAAGCACAATTATTTCATACGAAGTGTTAAATAAGAATGCAAAATAATAAAACTGAGTAACAGCTGCCATGTCTGGGAATAAAGAAAATGCTGTATCACTCCAAACCATAAACAATACCACAAAAGGTACTTTAAAGACACAAACCATACCTAAACACTAAATACTTTAAGATAAAAAATCTTAAATCCAAATCTTCAGAATTTATTTGTAAATACTCGTAAAAGTGAGTAAATATTTTGCCAAGACACTTGTAAGGATTTTAATCAAACTGGGAAAAGTCATGGACATTGGAAAGTTTTGGAGAACCAGCTGCAGAAGCATCATTTGCAAAGTGTAAATAAGAATAAAACTACAAGCAACACCTCTGGCTCTCTAAATTGCTAAGCTGTGAATTCTTGGAGGCTGGAAAGTACTGTACAAATGCTACTGCAAGACTTCCTTGTCCTTTCCAGTTGTGCTCTTTCCCAAGCACGTGCTTTTGGCTACTGTTTGTGCACGAGTTTGGACAGGTCTCTGGGTCTAACACAGTAGGGCTGCCCTTAAAAGTTACACATGGAAATTGTCTTTATCTGTTATTATGCTATTAGCAAGGAAGAATTGCGTTCCAATGTCCAATTTACAGCAAGGCAAAATCCAGGCCTTATCTTACTCTTTCATAAATCAAGTACTGCAACTCACCTATGATTCCAGCAACTGTATGACTTGCTCCTAGAGATTTGATATGAAGATTCATTAAAGGAACCACCATGCTCACCCCAAATAAATCCTGAAAAGAAAGTAGGATATTTTTAGTAACTTTCACAAAGACAATAGCAACCTGGCTTAATAACAGTCATCATTAGAAAACTAAATTTAAAAAAAAGTAAATTATCACCATATCAACACAAGGTCAAAAGAAAATTTTTCTTTTTTTTTCATATTTTTCATATTTTATGTGTTTCACAAAACCCATAAACTGAAAGATAAAGGATTGCCTCACAGAGGAGTTAAACCTATGAAAACATCAATTTTCTTCCCCCACTCTAGATGCAATCCTTCTGAAGATATATATTTAAACATTAAATATTCCTTTAAATATATTAAACTTTACCTGTTTAACAAGAAAAGTACTTTGTATTAGCCCTTTAAATTCAAAGTGGTCTACTTTTAATTGCCTAAACATGCTTTTTTTTGTGCAAAGAACATATATTTTGAAAAACGGTACTTTCACCAAACTACAATGGGGAAGAAGCTACAATAGATCTAAACCTACTAACAGACTGCCTTTGTGTAGTGACAAGACAGAAACTTGAAAAAAAAAATAAAGGCAAAGTATAATTGAAAAACATTTTGTAAGAGGAGGGTAAAGGACACTGCCCATCCTGAGAAGTACAAGGATCTCCTACTTGTTCCTTTTGCTTTATTACTTTTTGTTAAGCTCACCACTTTGACCCAGCAGTTCTTTCAGTACTACTACAATCTGGCACGGCAACCAGTGTCCCTAGGAGATCTATTGGAGCACCATCACCTTTCATCACTGACTGCTTGAACTGAACTAGACTGCCTCAAGGACTGATTAACTGTAACAATGTGAGGCACTAAGTGAATTCTCACAGTCTGTCATTAATTATTTTTTGATGGTTGAAATTGAGGCTTACAAGGTTAGAATCATTAAACACATTAGCATGGACAAACAGAGCACACCACTTACAAACATCCTCAGTAATACAATCTTAGCTGTCATATGTGAATCTGAAGAAAGGTTCAGTGACCTTGTCCAGGTCATCAATGGAGATATTAAGAAGTACAAGTCTCAGACTATACCCTGGCAGTACTGGACTGTGACAGGCATGCAGGTAGAGCAAGCCCCATCCTTTGATGAGTAGTTACATCTCATTCCACTGTCTAATTCCTTCTGTAGAGTGACAAATGTGCTGTATTTATTTGTCTGCCTACAGGAAGTCTGCATCACCACATCCTCTAAAAGGACACTCACTTGGTTGATTTTCTTGTGTGCTCCAGTTCAGTGTCAATACGCTATTTCAGGGCTGGAGAACCACAGCCTTTAAAAGTTAGTTAAAAGGAGCAGAGTTCGCTATAATATTTGCTCCAGGACATAAACCAGCTGGGTCTTTCTATCGCGCAGCCTAAAAGTAGGTAAGATAGTTATCCCGACATTTCACAGTGCAAACTGGTACTCATTTTGTACTCATTTTCCAAATCGTCGCTTTTAAATTTCAAATTAATTAAACGGCACTTTCCTGAGGCTCAGGAATCACTACAGAGTATGAACCTTTTAAAAAGTCTGTTCTTTCAATAGGAAACTTCTTTTTTTTTTTGAGAGAAACATATTTTTAGGTTTTTTTGGGGGGGTAAATTTACAGGAACCACGGGTATTTCAAGAACAGGAAGCAGCTCTGTTATAAGCACCAAGGCAAGACTCAGCTTTTCGGGTGCTACACTATTCCATGGCATTCACAGGATAAAAATCCGACCTTTGTGCCGAACTGCGTGGCTGTTTGCAGGGGTAAAAGATCCCAGCCGCTGCACACCACCAGCGCTACAAGCCCTGCCGTTCCCAAGGGGCTGCTGCAGCGCTGCACCCCGGCAGCCACGGCCTGCAGAGGAGCCGCTTCCCGCTCCCGGCCGCGGCCGCCCGCCGCAGGCCCCGGGGCCGCCGCTTACCAGGAATCCCACCGCGTAGAGGCACCGCACGAAGCGGGCGGACACGGGCGAGCTCGCCGTGGCCGCCCGGCCGCCGCCACCCTCATCCTCCTCCTCTTCGTCCATGCGGGCGGCGGCGCAGGGCCTGCGCAGTGCCCGCGGCGCGGCGGAAACGAGAGGCGGCGGCGCCGGCACCGGCACCGGCGGGGGAGACTCTCGCTGTTGTTTCGTTTGGCGCGGTATCCTAAGTGTGTCCTCTTTCTCGGGAGAAGATGAGGACGAATAAGGCACCCTGCCGGCCTCGGGAGCCGTCGGGATCCCTGCCTGCACCCTCCCACACACACCTCAGTAGGACTTTGCCCTTCCTGCCTCTTGCGTGTTTGTACGGGAAACATTTTGCAACCCGGCCCGTCGAGGCCTGAGGCTTTTGGGCGTTCAGGAGGAGCCCAGTGGAGCCAAGGGACTCCAAATATGGAGAAACAAATATAGGGAAACAAATATGCCATAGGAGCATGGTGATGGATCCCCTGCACAGTTCTTGTGGTGGCTGTAGAAAAATGGCGTTTTGGCCCTTGCACCTCCGATCCTACCGACCCATATGGAAAGCGCCCGTGCCCCAGCGCTGCTGCTGTTCCTCGGCCATCTCTCGGGCTCAGCCCGGTGCCTGTATCAAGTGTTTCTGGCGCCAAAGTGTTTTCCTGCCTGGTTCGTGGCTTATCATGGTGGTACTGAGCCAAGGAGGAAGGGCGTCCCTCTTCCTGCTTTGTACTTCACTGCTGTGCTGTGCTTTTGTTAAAAGTCAGGGATAACTGGAATTGTTGACGACTAGTTATGTTATGTTACAATGCATTTGTATCCAAACCAGTGAAACTTCATAAATCTCTCAGAAGCACTGGTGGAAATGATTGTCACATGCAAAATGTGACCGCCCAGCTTTATGTTGGAGTCAGAGGTTCACTCTTTTATTTAGTTGCTTGGCCAGGGATCAGTAAAACTGCTGCAGTTTTAAATACTTTTAAAAATGCACAAGGGAACAGGAGATGCTTTTAATTATCAGTAAGAAGAAGCTTTTGTAAAATGTTGATGACTCTTACACTTTAAAAGTTAGCATGAGTTATTAAGTTTGAGGAAGATCATTCAATAACTGACAATAGCATAACTTCAATTCTCTTTTCATGTTTCCAGAAGAAATAAATATCACAAGGTTGAGGATCTTTTACAGATTTAGGTCACAAAAAAGAAAAGGGGAGGGGAATGTGATTTTCCCATGATTATTAAAAATTAAGCTAAAAAACCCCTCAAAATACTAAAACTGTAAAGAATGACATATTTATATATATGGAGCTTATTTATAAGATACCAAGGCAAAACTTAGTTTCTGCATAGGGACAAAGATCTTATCAGAGTCCAGAAAATAATTACTCAGTTGTTTAATATCCCAGTGACTGTGATGTTTTTTGTGTTGGCTTAACCAATATATCCTATTAATTTTTCTCTTTGAGGCCACTTTGAATAACAAATTCTCTCAGTGAGGTTTTTAAAATTCTAGATACAACACTAGTGGAGATCAGTTCCACACAATTTCTCTGAAATCGACAAAATGGTGACAAGATGCTGAAATATTGGAGCATCCTGGGAATTGCTGCTACATTGTCTGCTCAATATTGTGCTAATTCTATCCGTGGTCATTTTAACTGATAGAAGAAATGGAATGTGCCTGAAAATTTATTAGAAGAAAGTATTAAAGAGGTGGATGATTAAAAGATGTTGCAAAGGTTTAGGTACTTTTCCTGGGGTCTAGGGGACATTGACTTCTATGCAAATACTGAGCCCAACTGAAATATTTAAGGTTTTTTTGTTAGTCTCTGCCATAAGTCTCTGAAACCAGTTAGCTAGTCTGTATTTTTCTCAGGTTCTGAAGATCAGAATGATTAAATATGATGGGGAGAAAGTATTGCAGGCAGGAATATTGAATTTCCTGGCAATGAAAATGCTTATGTTTTGTATATTGTTTCAAGCTATCACCGTGCACAATGACTTGTAAAGCAGAGAATAACCAGACTTTATGACATCTATGCAAACTGTTCATGGAAAAAACCCCAAGCATTTAGAGAACACATTGGTGTCTCTTCCTTTAACAGATCTCTTACTACTTTTTCCCTGGTGAACTTGATCATATTGCTAAAGAATTGTGCATCTCACATGTTTACATAATTTACATAATATATAAGAAAAAGGCATTAATATATGGTAATTGACAAATATCTCTGTTACTTTTGAACTGAAGGCAGATTATTTCAGCTGCCTCAAGGTTCCCATTCATGTTCTTTAATTGCAATTACAAAATTTAAGATAAAGTCTCCCAGATAAATAAATCTTAAGGACAATGTTCTCAAATAAAGTGGTTTTATGACTGATAAGGGAATTGACTAGCAATTAAAGGAATGAAATACAATGAAGACCACTTATCAGAGCCCTAAGGAAAATAGACCTAGTCTACTATATTTGGGAGCAGAATTACATAGTAGGTTGATTAAAATGATATTATCAATATAGTTCACTTACATTACTTTAAGGTGTTTGACTTGTTACTGGATGATTCTTAAAAATAAGTACAGAATAGGTACTCAGAAGTGGCCAGCAGCATGTGTGTTCAGAAATGCCTAGATGATCCTCTTATTTCTTATTTTTTCTCCTGTGACATGGTAGTAGCAATTGAATGAAAATTAATGATTTTATGGATAATGCTAGAACCAGGAAGAAGATGCAGACTACTGCCACTACACAAACAAAGTACTCTGTTTTCATTATATGTAAGTAATGTAAGTGTGAGGTGCATCATGCTAGAAACAAAGCATGAGGAGCTGCACCTCTGTTGAGACAGTGATTATGAGATGAAATTGGTAGTCATAGTACTCAGCCAGCAACAGTAAGTTTCTTATTGTTACAAAAAAGTGCTCATCTTTTGACAAGAAATAGAGGAGCCAGAATTAAAAAAGAAGGAAAGCTTACATTTGGATCAGTGTTTTAGTTTGTATACTAATGCAACATTGTGTCTAGGCCTGCTGTCCTAATGGATGATCAATTTTGCATAAATAGAGAGGGTTTAAAAAAAAAAGAAGGAGAGAGGGTGAGAGAGATTTCAATGGCAGAAGGAACATTTCTTCAAGCATTGGGCTGCCAGAGGTCAGATTATCCGCAGCCTTGTTGGGCTATTCTTGCCTCAAATTTTGAATGAGAGGAGAACTAGTCTGTGGGAGAATGTCTGAGATTCAATTTGCTCATGAGGAGAAGGGGTGAGGAATCTTCAGCCCTTTAGTGAAAACATCTACGGTAAATATTTGGTGTCACCTGCCGAGCAAGAGGTTGAGGCAGTCTGCAGCTGTGGCTGTGTGTGCTCCAAGCCCTGACATAGTGAAAGCATTGATGGAAGTCATCTGGAATCCAATAAAATTCTTTTCAAAAAGATCCTCACATTACTTCAGTAGTGGAGAAAATTTTAAACCTTATAAATTCTTAAAAAAATTTGAAAATACTTCTGTGAGACAGGTCTAAGACAACTACACTGATTTATTTCAGTAATAGAATATATTACTGAATTCCTGCATTACAAATAGGTAAGGTCAAGACCCCCAAATGTGCAATTTGTCATCAAATATAGTGAATCTAACAATGATTTATTTCATTCTGGTTTACTGCTTCAGATTGTTACGGTAACTTCAACAGTCATTTCACCTTTTCATATACAAATTGAGTGAAGTAGAAAAAGTTATAATCCAGTGGTCTAGAACATTTTAAGAGGTACTTGTAAATGAACTTGAGTTTGGAATCTGCTGTTAATGTTAAAGACATTTAAAGTGTAATCTGTCTGAAAAGATCTACAAATTTAAGGAATGTGGAAAGAAACCTTTTAATTGATGCCACCCTCAAAGCTGTAAATGAATCACACTGGTATGTTAGAGAGACTTAGAAAGCATTTATAAAACAGCTTGTTAAAGGAAGGAATTATTTCAGGCATTGGGTGTACTTCTCCCCTTCTGGAGTTTTTCATGGCGGCATAACTAAGGCCACATGGCTTTTTGTGTTTCTTTCAATTAATGTTTAACAGATAAAACAAATACATTTGGAATGGTTTAGATACTATCGATCCTTCTCTGGAGCAGAAGGTGGCCAGGATGACTCCTGTTGACCTCAATCTCTTTTCTGGTATATTAGAGTACTCTTACATCACACACATCATGCCCCACTCTCCATGCTGGACCCCCCAATCCCTCACCGAGTCTATGATTTGATTTATTTAATTATTTGTTTTAAGGTCAGTGGCTCTGTAGAAGCTGGAAGGGCACAGAAAGACCTAAAGGCTAGTTGCTCACCCTTCCTGAATAAATCCAAAAGTATATATATCAGAAGGTGTCTGTGGAGTAAATGGAAGGTGTTACAGCCTCAGAGTGAGATTCATAATAGCATCCTGCTGTGGAAGGACTTGTGTAAGGCAGCAACAAGAATGGTGAAGAAGACTCCAACTTTTAATTTCTGACTATTTATGCATAACTGCTTTCATAGGAAACTTCCTGGAATACTTCCTAGAATTAGGCAACTCATTCATTTCTCTGAAAATTGCACATGTGATGTGTCATGACTTGAAAGTATTGTGGGAAACATAAATGGCATTGGCCTGGCTTTCCTATAATTGTATGAAATATTCAGAGCACTCACGATGGTGATGTGATAAAGGAAAGCACATTCTTGTACTTCTGATAATTCTAGTTATCTTGCCCAATTTTCAGGGACATGGATTCATCAAATCTTGATTCAGTGTTATGACACAATTAAAAAAGAAACTGCTTTGCTGTCTTTTTAACCTATTTTATCTAATGTAGATTTAATGCAAGATTAGGGATAGAATGGGATGGGAATGGGATTTAGAATGGGATATATGAAACAGAGTGATCCACTCAGTCATACTAAAGTTTTTCTTCCTTTCTGTGCCTGAATAAATCTGTGATGCTTTGTAGTGTCAAAGTATTGAACACAGAGAAGGTATAAGGCAGGGTCCAAATGGGATGTACACCCTGGAGCTTTGTTCATCAGGGTGATTGCAAGTCTGTCAAGTGTTCCTGCAGGTGGCTAACAGTGGGTCCTGGATACTCAGAGATGTGTAAAAGTAAAGCCTCATAAAGAAGATTTTTCCTGTTGGTTTATTACAATTCCTGTTGAAGCTTTTGCTGACATGTGAGCTGCTTATGTCCCTTTTGTTCTCACTGTATAAACTTATAGCTCCTGCAGAATGAATGACTCAGTGATACCTGTGTTCAGAATGGCTTGATTTCCTCCTTTTGTGAGGGGCCTTCAGCACATTTCTACAATCTCCACTCAGGATTTACATGACCCAGCCATGTACCCTTGCTGCAAAGAGGGTAGATGGTATCCTGGTCCTCATCAGGCAAAGAATTGTCAGCAAGTTGAGGGAGGTCTTCTTTCCTCTCTACTCGGGACTGGTGAAGCCACACTTGGAGTGCTGTGTCCAGTTCTGGGCGTTGCAGTACAAGAGACACATGGACACTCTGGAGGGAGTCAAATGAGGGACAACTGAGGTGATGAAGGGATCAGAGCATCTCTCCTATGAGGAAAAGCTGAGAAAACTGGGATTGTTCTGCCTAGAAAAGAGAAGGCTCTGAGAGAGTTTTATATAAAGAGCCAGGCTCTTTACAGTGATGTCCATTGACAGGACCAGAGACAGTGGGGACAAGCTGAAACACCAGAGTGTCACTTGGAACCTCAGGAAACACTTTTTATTGTGAAGGTGACCAAACACTGGCAGGTGTTTGCTCACACAAGGAGATTCTGGAGTATCCAGCCTCAGAGATATTCAAAAGCCACCTGGACATGGTCCTGGGCAATCATTTCTAGGTGGTCCTGCTTGAGCAGGGAGGTTAGACTGGATGACCTCTAGGGGTCCCTTCCAACCTCAGTCACTCTGTGATTGTGTGACTTGTGGTCTGATTTACTGTAGTGTTAAGAAAAAAGTGGTCATATCTCAAACTAGTTATTCCAGACCTGCTCTTGGTCAGTGAACAAACCAAACCAAACCAATAACCAACCAACCAACCAACAAAAGTAGTTGTACTTTTAGGGCACGGTTTCTTGCACATTTAGGTGGTTGTCCTAAAAAAGGTCAGATGGACTGTGCTGTAAAAGTGACATATGACTGTAGAGGAAACCTGATGTGACCAGCTTAAAGTTCAACTTCAGCCACACATTTAATGGACAAGGTGTGTGCAGGATATGCTGTGTAGGTGTCTGGCTGTTTGTCTGCCTAGTATTCTCCTGACAAGTAATCGTGTCAATGCTGGGACACATGGACAGGAGGAGGATTGGAATCAGTGGATGAGATACTCCCATTACTGTTTAGAACAGTAAGTGAGCATTGAGGTCTCAGAAGGACTCAGCTCTGAGGCAGTTGCTGAAATTGTTTCTTGGTATATAGTGAGACATGCAGCCAGTTCTAAAAGGCTGTTTTTAGATCATGGGCATATCTGCCAGCACAGATAAGGAGCTGCCTGCCAATTCCAAACATATGCACCCGACACTTACTCAATCACACACAAACATAAACAAGAAAATAAACAACATCCCCTTCCCATAAATATCTTTTTTCCCCCTTCAGATAGAAAAGGAAAAAAAAGAAACAGCCTGCTATTGTTTTTTTTATTTTTTTTTCTTTTCTATTTTTAAATACAAGGAGGGGCTCAGATACTATGTTGAAGCTGGCACTATTATATGCATAAATAAAATATGCAGATTCAGGACTTAGTTTAGCCCTATCTATCTGGTGAATAAACAGAAATAAAATCAAAAACTTTTGCAGCTTTGTTAAATGAGACTGGAATCCATCTATTATGTGGGTCCTTCAATCTTCACACTATGAGTCAACAAAATCCATGAATGTTTGGCTTAATTTGCCAAATTAATTGAATATTAAAGCTGATTTAATTATTTAATTGTCATTATAGTAGGGATAAATTTGGCTAAGTCATTTTGGTTTAAAATGACAGTATTTCTGCAGAAGTTTAGGAGTTTTGAAAGGAGTTGGGGAATGACTTTTTTTAAGATTCAAAATAATGATTGTTTTGCCTTGATAAGCTTGGCTCTGTTTTCTCTCCCTTAAAACTTTCTCTCTTCTATTGAGGAACCTTCAGAATTTAATTTAATTAAAAAGAAAAAGGCCCTGAGACTTTCTTTGAGTATTCAAGTGGTGGATAACATGAATTTTTAAGCTGACATAACACATCTTAACATGGCTTCTGCTTCATTCTTGACATAGACGGGCATAATACTGGTGATGTTAGAGTATTTGGAAGATAACACTGCCAGAGAATGTGCCATAAATATAAAAGAGAATAATTAAATTAGATCCTCTCAGGATGAACATGCTAAACTGAGACCAGAATCATGTACAGTATATTAAAAATAAATACTTGCACTGCACAGGCAGTAATTCAGCTGTCATTTGAATTCAGCAAAACTTTCCATGCAAACTGATTTCAGTGAAGCTGCTCACAAGAATAAGTTACTTTCATGCAGAAACAGGCTCACAGAGTCACTGACATATTTCTGTCCTGAGGACAGGTAGGTGCAACATGAATGGAATTAGCCATTTGATATTTTTTGGTTGTTTGTTTTATTAATTGTGGTTCAGTGGCTGAGACTGGGGTCTGGAGTTCTCCTTTATCTTCTAATTTAATGCTGGAAAAGTTCACTGTTGTGACATTATAAGACATCCGATTATTTATTATGAGGTAAGTGGCATAGTGTTAAACAGTGCATTAGAATTAATTTTTAATAGATATCATGAAGAACTTAATAAAATGGATTTTGTTTATGCTGTGGCTATCTGTATCTTTGAATTTCACTGTATGAAATTCTTGAACTTTGGGCCAATGCTTTCTAAGGCCACCCATACACCAGCAAAATAGTTGGGAACTCCAGTTCGCTGAGCAGGATTTGGTTGCAGATTAAGGCCTTTGCATTCAGCCATCTCCATGTGAAATACAGATCTTTGCTGTGGTCAGAGTTGATTGAATCTGGCTAAAACACTCAGCAATGCCTCCAGGATGGTCTGAGAAGCTGACGGAGCCTGGCTTCAGAGGTGGCCTGGATGGCACAGGTGGTGTGAACCTGGCTGTGGCTGTCACTCAGGAAAGGCGTTGGCCTCCTCTGAGTCCCTTGTGGCACCTGCGTGCCCAGTGTAGGTGCCTTAGACATCCTGGGGCACCCGGCTGTGGGAGATGACAGCAAGGTCACCATGTCACTCCTTCCAGATGTGATTCAGTCACCCCCTTGTAGGGTCCTAGTGCCATCCAAGGGAGAGGGGGCATGTAAGATCCCATGTGGGGCTAGCAGGTGTTTTAAAACAGAGAGGGAAATACACCCTTCTGGTATTGCAGCTGGGAGCCAGCAGGATACTCTGGAACTGGCTAGAGCTAGGTACCTGCCCAAGTGACTGCGCAGAGCCCTGGGAGTCAAATCTAGGTTGTGATGAGCTGCTCTCTGGCTCCACTGAGTGTCATCACTATTGATTATGATGGAAAGACATTTAGCTTATATGAAATTGTCTCAATTTGGGCATGTTAGTGAACTGAATCCTACTTTTATTTTTTTTTTTTAACACATTATTATAGAATTGAACAGAACAGAACAGAACAAAATACAATATTTGCTAGAGGGGACCTACATAATTATCTAATCTACCTGCCTGACCACTTGGGCTGACCAAAAGTTGAAGTATTATTCCAAATTGCAAGTAACTATTTTTATTTTATTTTATAGCGCATTCTATAAGAAGTGTGTTCTTCCTTGTCTTGATTTTTTTTTGTTTTCTTTAATAATGAACAATAAAACATCCCTTTCCAAAATTAGGTTTCTAAACACCTCTCTTCTGCTGTATCAAAATGAACTGCATCAGTGGCTGTCAGGAAAAGCAAATATTACAAAAAGAGTCTGTTTGAATATTCATTTGCTGCTCTGCATACACTGAAACTCTGAAGTGCAAAAAGGCCACAGAATATTAAATGTGCTTGTGTATGAAATTAGTATGGTATCAGGTTTGAATAAAATATGGTTAATAACAAATGTGAATATGATGTTGGGCAGACTGTATAGCGGTATAAAACCACTGAGGACACAACACCAGTTCAGCAGTGTAGAAATGAAGGGAGATGGTAGAAACAGCATTTTCCTTGCTGTCCTCAAGCAGGCTGATGCGCTGTCCAAACCAATACTGGCATAGTGAACGTAGGAGTCCCTCTGGAGTCCTAAGTTTATTGCCATAAATTGTTGTGACAAATGTTTTCTGGAGTAAACTGGCTTAATTCTTCTCTTGAGCCCAGTGCTTCCCAGTATGCATTATCAACGGAAAATTCTATTCTGGTGATAAATAATTCCAATGAAATGTTATTCGGTAAGGAATGTAGGATCTGGTGCATGTTATAAACTCTACACATTTCTGTAATCCATGAGAGATGACTGGGAAGGCCTGCTTGACATGAAATGAAGTTGTTGAAAAAGCCTTTTTCTTGTAATTTAAAAGTTTTACGTCATCACTTTCCAAAATGGCCAAAGCATTTTCTTGGGAAAGTGTCTTCTTGTTTTAAAAAGATGGAAGATTTTTATCAGATGCTTGAAGGAATTTTTAACTGCATAAATTTTTGATACATGCAAAAAAGATGCATCTGAACAAATAAAGCATTTAGGAGTTTTTGTGTTTAATATTGCTAAAGTTATTACTTTAAACTTAGGATGTAAATTTTTAAAGATAACTGTATTTTTATTATATAGGATTTTTCAGGGGCATTTCTTCATTTCGGCTACCATATTTTAAAATTCTATAAAAATTTCTCAGCCTTCTTTTTGTAACATGACTTGTAGTAACTTCTTTGCTTTGAAAGGTGTTTCCTTTCCTGCTAGCAGCTAAGGAAACCTTCACCACCAGGCCTGAACTTTGGAAGTCCTTGCTACTACTGCGTGCTGTGTAACGCTGCTCACGTAGATGGACAGAGCCATTGCAACTCCATCTCCACTGGTGATGGTGCAACAGCTGCAATAATATTTCAAGTCAATCCCTGATTAGTTAGGGGAAGGTCAGCTATTTCTGACTGGCCTCGCCCGGACAGCGAAGCAGAGCAAAGCTCTGCCATCAGTGTCCTAAAATAGAAGGCCCTTTTCATCTGTCAGACTTGAGTCAGCCTCATGGAACACAAATTTGGAGACACAAATCGACTCACAGGGCATTGGGAAGAAGGGCACAGGCAGAAAGTCAAGTGAAGAGAAACTTCTTCAGATATGAGCTGTTTTCTCCATACAGTTTTTTAGTTACTTTACCAATAATTTGTTTTAAATTTATTTTACTGCTAACCTTTTAAGTAATTAAGGTGTGTTTTTTTTTTTTTTTTTTTTTTGTTTTTTTTTGTTTTTTTGTTTTTTTGTTTTTTTCCTAATAACTTCAATAATGAAACTGAGCGTGGGGATATTTTTTGGAGGCTTCTTTGCAGCTCTGGGGGTTTTGCTTTTTTTGGTGGCATTTGGAACAGATTATTGGCTTCTTGCTACAGAAATAGGAACTTGCTCAGAAGCACCTGAAGGTGCTGGGGTTAGTATGAACTTTTTATTTATAATGCAAATTATATATGCAAACTTCTTGGATGTGATTATTTTGTAAACTTTTAAATATACTAATTTTGTTTATTTTTTAAGAATTTACTTCTGTATATACTTTTGAATATACTAATTTTGACCTTCTGGAGGCTTACAAGCCTGCCTCAAAACCTTTTATAATCACTTTAAAATTAATTTTTATTTTGTTATACTGCTTTTGCAATATGATATTCTTTCAAAAGAAGAAGGACTGTTTTTAAATGTTCTAGCTGACCTAAATTCAGACAGGTTGTGTGTCATTATGATGGCGGTATTTTTTACATCAGCATCTAATTGAATTTAATTCTTTCAGTCATTCAAAAATTGTATGATAATAGCTTTCTTTTTCTTTTATTTCTTCCTCTGTAGGAAGAGAAGGCCACTTTCCATCATGAAGGTTTCTTCTGGAGGTGCTGGTTTAGTGGAAATGTAGGAGATAATAATGGCAGCATGTGGAAGTTTTGGTATAGTAAGTAATTTTTTCCTTTTACTTTATCTACAGTAGTTTGTTCTCATAATTGTTGGGGTTTGGTGTGCTTTTTGTTTTCCCTTCTGTCTTAAGAAATAATTAGATTTCATATGGCGTCTTTGGGGATCAGGTTCTTCAGCTACCCTAAAATAAATTCTTGACACACACTTCTATAATCTATAGGAAACCCCAGGACAAAATGATACAAGTTTAGTTATCAGATTACACTGTGATTGTTATGGATGCCCTGCTAACCTGAGTCCATTCTTAGCTACAAAAGTCTTTTACCACTTACTGCTAAACAGTTGGTTTATTTCTGTTAAGTAAGGAAAAAAGAGCTTAGTGGTTAGCCTGGTCCATGAATTTTTGCTTGGGGAGTTTCTCCATCTGTTCTTTACTGACTACAAGTGGGTCAGGAAGGGAATGGGCAACTCCACAGTGAAAATTGTGTAGGACACACCATCTCCAGAAGATTTTCTTTATTACATTCACAGATTACCTGTTGCTTTCTTTCACTACATCCAGGATTCTAAGATAGATAGAATTACAACCAAAACCTCCTATTTAGAAGTTAAGCAAAATTTCTTCTCCTGTCTTTGGCCCTCCCTCTGAGGTAGGGAGCTCCCTCACCTTATTGCAAGATTTCTATAATCCTTGTGAAAAGCAGGTGTCATCGTACAAATTTGACTTCAATAGCCCATATTTTGCTAAATATATTGCTTTGTCTTGGGTGGAAAATGTAATATTCATTGTAGTTAATTTCCCCTTGTTATTTATTTGGAAAATTATGTGGTCGGGAATCTGAAACTTAGATGGGGTTTAAGTTATAGTCAACCTTTGTCTTTTGCATGAAGAAGTTGATATTTTGAGAAGTGTTTGGTATAAAGGGTGAAATTATTCTTTTCTGGAGGATATTCATTCCATAGACTAGACTCTTACATGTGGCCATTGTAAACTCTCTGAAGATGCTTGATATTTTCATTGTTCTTTCACAAAAGAAAAAGTAATTTTGGATTTTGTTTATTTGGTTGTTTTTTTTTTTTCTGCACATGTAATAACGAGAAGAATATAACTAGCCCTCAAATGAGAAAGGTACATATGCATGCAAAAGGCATACATATGCATCACGTATAAATTGCAGTGTGCTTTCAGCAGGGCTCGTTTACTGTCTCAGAGTACAAATCTGTATTGCTCTTTAAGGAATATTCTTGTCTGGGTAACAATGCTTGTATCTCTTACCAAACCAAATTCACTGTAAGCTATTGCCTAGGAAAAGACCTGAAATCTTGACCTATGAAGTTCAGTTTGCCCACTTGAAGAGCAGATACACAATATTGTTAAGGCAGTAAAATATTAATCTTTAGCTTTCTTTCATTTTTAGCCAACCAGTCACCTTCTAAGAATTGTACACATGCTTACCTGTCCCCATTTCCTCTTCTCCGAGATGAACACAACTCCACCTCCTATGACTCTGCAATCAGTAAGTATTGTTTGGTGCAAATGAATACAATGCCCATAGTTTCAAGAAAACAATTTGGATGCTTCAAAATAAAACAGCCTTATCACCCCACACTGTTTAATTAACATATTTTGGTATTTCATACTTCTCATAGTTTTACAACATGCATATTTAAGCCACTGTTCAACAAAGCACATAAATAATGCTTAGCTAAAAAAAAAAAAAACCCAACAAAAAAAACAGAGAGCTTTCTTGTTTAGTGCTTTTTTTTCTCCAACATCATAATTATCTTCCTTGGGCTGAACACATTAAGCAAGTACTTATTGTCATGTATTTGGTTTTGGTTGGAATTTTTTGTTTTGTTTTGTTTTGTTTTGTTTTGTTTTGTTTTCCGGGGATTTTGTTTTTGTTAAATAAATAAACACGTATGGAAATCTACTGCATTTTTACTTTATGTGGAAGTAGGAGCAGAGCCTTGATGCTATCTGAGTTTATTTAATTGACTCAGATATACTTCACTGAGAAACTCTTGTACTGCAACAGAAATACATGTAAGTATATATTTATATACATGTGAAAGATATATATTTATGTATATATTTATGTATATATTATCTTTCACATGTATATATATGTATATACATGTGAAAGATAAACATTAAAAGAAATTTTATGTTTGAATAGTGCCTAGAAAGATCTGTCTTTACAACACTTAAGACAGACTTAAAAATACCAGGAATGTTTATTCATATTAAGAGCTTTCCACAAACATATTTGAAGTAAATAACTTCTGATATCTATTTCACATGACTTTTTAAACAACCTGTGATGTGTGCATGCTACATGCCTCTGAGCTTGCTGACTAAGGGACTTAAGTGATCCCTTCCTGTCCTGAAGCTGTAATTATGCTTTTGCTAACCTTGAAGTGTCTTTAGAATCCAATTTTTATGCTGCAGACACGAAAAAGAAAATAAATTAGAATTATAATGGTTCTGTTAATCTTTAGAAATTATGAACTGTTTGTCCAGGAAGAATTCAGACCTCACCATTCAGAGATCTAATCTGTAACTTCACAGCACATCTAGAACAGTTTATCTTTCCATTTGAAAGTGACAGAGTCATCAGCTCGTAATAGCCTAGACAGAGTTTGTATTCCACCATTCACTCATACATTCACAAAGGTTCCTCAAATTATATTGCATGATTACACAGAAGTGGACAAACAAAGAAAAAGAAAAGGAGAAGGAATATCATCAAAAGTTTAATTAATTTTAGTTAATGTTTGCCAAAAGAACCACTGCTCAAATATAATTTTCCTATCTATATTTCATATTAGGAGATTAAAAGTAGGCAGAACTGTACTATAGATGCTGGCCCAGGTAGAGTATATTCAGAGCCATTCCTGCTATATAAATAGATACAGTTGGATTGCTTTCGAGCTCATTAAAACTGAAGACGGTTTGGGGTTTTTTATGTCTACATTTCATTTTCAGCATCCAAGCTGAGTTATTTATTAGAACAGTTATGATTGCTCAAGAGCCTTTCACAACTTTTTATGAAGAAGGTTATGTCATCATCTCTTCTGTTAGTTCAAAACTTGTTTCTCCTTTATTCTAGTTTGACAGTCATGCCCAGGATATTTGGCAAACAGGTTTTAAAAACCTTGCTTCATCTGGAGTTGCTAAATTAAGAAATGCTACAAGGTTATCCTCTTTTTCCTGGCTCCCAGTGCAGGAAGTGGTTCTCTATAAAGCCAGTGGCAAAAGTCTTCAGTTTGGTTCTCTGAAGATCAAGATTTCATTTATGATTTGTATATGCAGTTGTCTGCATCTAATACTTTACATTAACAAAACATAGAATAAAATAATTTGAGATTATTGTCCCCTTTTTTGGTTCTGCTACTGTTTCTTGATAAAATATTATCATTTTCACGGCTCATAGCTTTCCCGACATATTCTCTTTTGGGGATGATAAAAAGCTCAAATTTTCTCCCCAGGTTTATAATTGTATTTTTAGTGAGTCAATCAAGTTCTATTTTAACAAAATATAACAAGATAATGAGAATTTTTCTGTCATCTTCATTTGCTCTTTCATAGAAAAGGAAACAGCTGAATAAAAAGCTTTAAACTTCATTAGAAAAATCAAACATGTATACAATATATTTTCTAAAGGTTTATAACTTTCTGTTCAGAGCATTATTAGTTGCTGAACAAGTCTAGGCATGTGACTTTTTTACAGACTATTTGACTTAAGAAACTTTTGAAAGTTAGAGGAATTTGAATTTAACTTTAGCCCCTTGTGCAGTCACTTGTGTGGAGACACAAGTGTGGTTTGTTGGAGTGCTGTGTCACCATCCAGCTAGAAGAGCTCAGACAAAGATAAGTTGCCTGAGGAACATGAAATCTCTGATGCTTTTTGAGTGCAGTGTCTGGACCAAGTTCTCTGTTGACATAACTCCTTTGACTTTAGTAGCAATGGGGCTCAGAACTTTTCTGGGCCAGAATTCAAACCAGGCTCACCTATCCTCTCTTAGTTTATTTACATCTTTTTGTATGTTGAGCTTGCTTTTGTGCTATAGTTCTCAAAAATCTTAAAGCACTGAGAATGGATAACTTTAGTGTTTCAGTCTGCCTTACAAAGCTTTAGACCAAAGGCTGGGTTCATTCTGGTTTACAAACCTGGACTATGAACTTTTGGTGTCAAGGACTACAGCCTTAGATGGAAATGTAAAGGCAGAAAAGCTTATGGGGTGCTTATATTGGAGGTTTGAATGCATACTTTAATGTATCCGATCATTTAATCATTACTGTAGATGCATGACCAGCTTCATAGGGCTAGATAGCACTGATTTGAAATTGCAGTTTGCCATATCTTTTAATCATGGTTATAATGTTTCTGTGTGTTCATTGGTTTTGTTAAATAATCTTAACAGAGTGGGAAGGACTTCCCCTAGCTGTAGTGTAAGGTATCATCAAAAGCTGTGTGATCCATCATTTATGGTTAATGTATTTTAAGAAATTCATAGGCCATGTCATTTATCTTAACCTGAAACAGGTTCTAAATGAATTCAGGGGAAGCCTGTCTCCAGTGACTTTCTGTAATGGTACAGAGGTTTAGAGTGACAGCTTTTATAGTGTGCAGCTCTCAAGTTGACTTAGCACCTTGTGTTGCTAGGACATTCATTTTAATGATGATTCACATATATAAGTGCAGTAAACTACAACCTAGGAATAAAAAAAATTAAATTAGATCATGCAATAGAAATACCACAGCAGCAACCTATATATTTTAAAATAGACATATTATTGCATAATCATAAACAGATTAGTTGCCCCATCAGGCTATTCTGAAAGCATAAAAGCATAGTATTTTTAATATTAATTAAATGCTAGCTAGATTAATGCATAATATCATGTCATTAGGTTACTTAAAACTGATGTTCAAGGGCTATCACACTTTCCTAAAGTTCTTTTACTATAGGACAATACTAGGCCTGTTTTTGGAAAATGTGCAAAATTCTTACTCATGGAAATAGTCCCATTGGCCATAGTGAGATTATTTGTGAGAAAAAGAAGTGAAAAATCTAACACTTAGTCACTAATTCATTATTTTTATTTTTAAGGGGATTTTTTTCAGCTTAATTTGGAAATACACAATAGTGCCCTAACTGTTGTAAATCACCCCAACACCTTTTGAAGCTGAAGTGGGAGCATTTTAGTGGGACAGCACTGGCATATTAGTTTAATACTCTGATTTGTAGCTGCCAGTATTTTTTTCCTGACTATTGGTATCTTATTTTGTCCAGTACTGGGCACATTGCCAGCATTTTAAGTAATGCCTAATGGATAATACACAATGTTTATAGAACTGAAGCAAAAATCTGATTTAACAACTGTTTAATCTAAAATGGTGAGATCAAATTTATTGGCAGGTTTGTTAATGGGTTGAAATTAACCTAAAGTAATCTGGAAAATATCAGCCATGAAATCTGAAAATAGAAGTTGTACCAGTGAAATGTTAGCAGTAGTCTATTTCTAGGGGAAAAAATGCTCTTATGTAATAGTCATATAATTGCCCATGAGAGATTGTAATACTGTACATTTATGTGATCTTTGTAGCCCCCCAAGCAGCTAAAAAGTAAGAAGCATTTTAAAAAAGCAGTGTATCCATTTTGTGAATATTTGTATTTGTGAATATTGTATTTGTAGTGGTGTTAAAGCTATTTTTGAAAAAATAATTATTACTACGGGATAGTAAAGGGTGCTGAATGAAGCTGAGAAATGTCTTGCAAAGTTTACTGTGCTTCCCAGTGTGTCTCCTGTACTGCTGCTGAGATAGGTGATTTCATTTACAGCTGCTTATCTGCAGAGAAAATAGTTCTGATTGAGAGCAGTTCTGGCACTTTGCCTTTCACTGTATTGGCACTGTGTGTGGCAAAACTCTTGTCGAAAGCATTTCAATATCTCTTGCATTAAATAGAGAGGTAAAAAAATGCACATTCTAAAATACAATCCATTGTCAGATCACAGGAAATGCTCCCTTTTGGATGTGAGCTTGTCCATGATAGTTCAAGGAAACTTTTCTAAGACCTTTTGCCTGCCCCTGGAAATTTTCATGTGGCATTGTACTAACACATGTTTCAAAAGGCTTTTCATCCTTATAGTGCTTAATAATTCATATTGACATACATTTAAGATTAAGTAGCCTGGGTTTTTATGGTAGACCACACTACTTTTATGGAGTGATGGCTGTGTTTTGAAAACACTTTGAGTCAGCAAGGGCAGTGAAATACTTGGTATGGTTTCATGATGCTGATGTTAACATCTCCGACAGCAGAAGGGTGTTGCTTTGTGACATTAGCTGGGCTGTTCCTGAGTAACTATTATGGAGCTCCAGAGGTGTCCATGACTGCTTCACAAGTGTGAGTGTAGGGGACACAGCTCTGTAACTTTTCAAATTAATTATTGCTTCTCTTTCAAATCATGTATCAGTAATGTCTTAAAATATGAATCTGTTACTTCAGTTTCAGTGTTACTTCACTTTCAGTGATCAATGCTGGGATCCACTATACTAAAAAAGAAAGCTTGTGGTAATTTCCTCCCTTTCTCCAAAATTTCGGACTGCACAAACTGAGATACTTCTAGTTTTCAAATAATGTGAAAGTCTCTGGAGGGACCTAAATTAGGATCTTTAGTGAGAAAAACAAGTAGCAAGGGAAAACTACAGGTCATCCAATTTTGGAGGAATATAATGTTCATATGCAGGCCCAATGGTGCAGTTGTGTGTACTCCTAAGTTTTCCGCTAAGTCTTTTTTATTTTTAGGCCTGCCTGTCATTTCCTAGGCAAATGTTGTACTCAACAAAGGGCTGGCTTACCAAGATGAGTTACAAAACCTTCTGTTTAGCACTCTTGCAACACAGAGAAATGATATCTAAGATTTTAAACACTGCAGATATGTTTACTTTGCCCTCTGCAGTAGCGCTTGTACTTTATTTCTTCTGTTGTAGGAAACACTCAGAATAATGAATGTGCTTGAGGTGGGTAACTCTAACATATCTGTGAAGTATCTGGAAGAGGCAAGGGTACTCCTTGTCATCTGGACCAGAACATGGGCTATTGTATGAAATACCTCAGTGAGACTTGAAATTGTTCAAACTTCTGTTAACACTTTGTATAGATACACTTTTTATGGGTTCACTGAACCATTATTTCTTGAAACAGACTGTTTGGATCACAGTGTCAGCCCTTTTCATGGGATGTAAAGAAGAGTAATTCAAAGCAGCATTCTCTGTTGCATTTTATCTGTCCTTGTGTGCCTCAACCTCAGAGCAGCAAAGTCTTTGACTTGAAGAGTAATTTCATTCTCTTAAAAGATTTAATTTCAACCAGCTCTTTTGTGTTCATCTATAGATGACAGCTAAGCTAAATGACAGCAGTAGGCCTGAGTTGTTATTTTGAATGACTAGCCCTTTAGAAATTGATCTTGTCCATCTAGGAAGAGATGATGGGGAATGTGATCTAAGCAAAAATGATCAGATCATAAAATAAGCGAAGCCATCTTTGCAGGAAAATGATGGCTTTTTAATTCCCTTACAAAAGTAAAAGTCTAAGTGCTTATAGGGTATTTCCTCAGACCTGTCCCACAAATGAACCAAAGACTTTCTGCCTTGCAGGTCAGAGGGGATAATATTTTACTTGAAAAGTCACAGATTTGTGAGCAGACTTTGTACCTGTCAACTACACTCTATTTTTAAATTGATATTTAATGACTAAATTAGCTTAATAAACAAGAATTAGGATAATCAGACTTTATCCATGATTCTTTAGAGTAAATAACTATTTTGGAGAAATAGAATGGAAGCTTCTGTCAGGGGATAGATAGGTGAAATCAGTATTTCCCACATATTGCATAAAATAGTTACAGTGCTGGAGCAGAGAAACAGCTTTTCTCTTGTATAGTTACAGAAAGGTTGAAAAAATTTTCATCAGTTACATTTGTACTTCTTTTGTGCTCTGTTTCTAAGAATATTTGAGCATCAAATCAAGCTTTTCTCAGGAAATCTCACTAAAAACAGACTTCAAAGCCTCCTGTATGAAAAGTGGATAATGAAAACGAATGTTGGTTTTGTAATGCTGGAGAATCTTGTGTCCTCCTCCACTGAGACAATAGAAACACTGCTCCATGACTTAGGTGACTGACAATAATAATATACAAGAAAGCTTTTTCAAGCTTCATTTTGGCCAATGTGTCCTATTATGTAGTATGACTTTGAAGTACCTTGGGCCACCCATGTAAAAGAGTTGGGTGGTTATAGATTGATTTAGTGGTATTAGGCTTTAAACGAGGAAGTAATGTCCCATGGACTTGGAGACTGCAATGAAGCTTATCAAAGTAGCCCCATGAGTAAAATAATATGAAATTGCTTCAGAAACCCAAGACTGAAGCACTTGAGAGATTTACTTTTCTAGGTCTCCATTTGCTGTCCATTTGCATTAAGTGAATCATTTAACTATGTGTTTAACTTTAAACAGGTGCCTAAATCCCATAAGAGGTATAGCACTTAAAGCAACACACACATTTAACAGCTTTGCTGAGCCATAGCCTTATTTCTTACCTACTACTCCAATAATTTTTTGTTTATGTGAAATGGAAACTTGAATATGAACCAAACCACAATTTTAACCCTTCTGCGAGGTATTTTCAGACACATTCCTCCTTTATATGCCCAAATCTGCTGATCAGTGTGGCGGAAAATTATGTCTCTGAATGTTTGCTTGGATTAAAAAGGGTGTTATTTAAAAAGTGTGGCTAATGTAATGTGGCAAGCATGATCTAGCTAATACATTTACAAGGCTGATGATGTATTCTTTAACTTGCGTTAAGCTGGTCAAGTTAAAAACCATAGACTTTTGGAATACATTAGTGGGAAACACTAGCTGCTAATGCCTAGTGAGCCTTCAGATTTCAGATGAGAGCAAACCTGAATTATTACTGAATAGCTGTCTCTAACAAGCTGTATGAATTTGAATCTTCCAGGATATGAACCAGTATAATAGTTGCTTGGTTGTGTTTTTCCATAACAGTAAGTAGGTGCTGTCAGATGATAAGTGGCAGTTTCTTTTGTGATACACTTTTCCTGACTTGCCAGCTGGCTTATATGCTTTCTCTCAGTTGGGTGGAAATGTTTTTCACTCACTGAATTGTCAGTGCTTCAAGATTTTCAGATCTGACGATGGAGATCTTTACAACTCATAATTTTACTAATGGGTTGTGTTAATGTACCAATTTTTAAATTCATGGGAGAAATTTATGTCACTCTTGTAGCATTTGTAAAATGATGACTTTGTTAAATGGATGTGCAATTAACCAGCTAAAAACTAATTGTTAGAAAGACTCTTTTGGCCAGAGTATGTCACAAAACTCTCAGCTCATTTATCACCAGCTGCATCCATTAATTCAGCACTGCTTGGCACTGCCTAACGGGCTTCTGAAACATCACATTTTAAATTTAATAAAATACAAAGAGCTTTAGAGCAGAAATAGGCTGCTTTAAGACATTTAGCTGTTTTTCAGAAATACAGTTTATATTTTCTTAGTTTCTCCCTGTTTCTTAAGTTTCTTTCTGCTGAATATGGCCATATATAAGGAGCATTATCCAACCATAAATTGTGAAGAACTTACAGATTGTTATTGGTGATACAGTCTCGGCAGTAGGAGTGTCAAGATGTTGCTGCTCTCTGCTTCTTCCACACAATTTTGGTAAAATAATTGTATTCTGCCAGTCCAATCATTTATCCCAAGGAATCACTGCTATAGCTTTGCTGCACCATTTTCTAAGGAGTGTCAGTGTGGTCAGGTTGCTATCTTACAAGGTATTGCTTAATATTCAGCAGATAGATTTCATTCACAATAACTTACATGCTTTTTTCCATGATCATCAGGTAAGGGCTGGTAATCAAACCTATTTTGATCCACATGATATATAATGTATATGCAAAATAGAATTAGTGTTTCATTTGTTAATAAGGCAAGTGATAAGAGAAGGGGAAAGGAAAATATTTGTTACCCACTTGGATAAGTTCTAAAAAGCATTGTATTATTTTTCTTCTGTCTTCCTTTTCTCTAGTTTATCGAGGTTTCTGGACAGTTCTTATGCTCCTGGGAGTACTCACTGTTGTGGTGGCTAGTTTCCTCATCATCTGTGCAGCTCCTTTTGCCAGTCACATTTTATACAAAGCAGGAGGAGGCTTTTTCATCATTGCTGGTGGGTATACTGTTTGCTCAGTCAATTATAGAGTAGAAAGGATGAGTTGTTTCTTCCATTTTCCTTAACCAAAAATTGTATCAATCATGGTTAAAAGAAAGAGAAAGCATATGCTTCTAATCCTTTGGCTTCTGGACGCTTGCCTTAGACACAGGTTCTTTGCACAGTTATTTAGTCATGAAGCTATTACAAAAGCTATTTTTGGGTTAAGGTTAAAAAAACCTTATATTAAGCTTTGGGTTAAGGTTAAAAAAAACCCACATCCAGGACAAATAATGGAATTACACTACAATTTCAATCTACTTTTTTTAACAGGAAAAAGAATGCATATATAAGGATGTTGCCTTACAGGATTCTCAAAGACTTTAGCTAAGGAGAGGGTTTAGTCCTTTATCAGTGATGCAAAAGATGATTACAGTGGACTCTGAAGAAGTTGGGAGACAGAGCACATATACATGACCAGTACAGGAAAATGCTTTGGATGTGATGGGACTAAACAAAGTAGTTGTCATGTATGAGTAAGTTGGAGCTCTAAACCTCTGCAAATGAAAGATAACAAATAACTGAATTCCCTCCTTCCTCATAACCCACATGTACAGTGGAGGATTCACCCTCCCAGGATTCAGCTGATATGGACAGCTCACTGGCACACTGTTTGCTTAACCTTGAAAAGTCTGTGAAGGTGTCACACTGGTGTGTAAGATATAGTTATATGGGATGTAAATGATAGTATGTGCTCCATCTCTGTTCTCCTTGGTTTAAAGCCTGATGAGAGGCAGCCCTGTAAGAACATATTGTGTTACAGGGCAGAGCCACCTGTGTCAGGACCACAAGGCCTCGGCTCTCTTTTTGCTTCTCATACTGACCCCCTGACCTTGCTTACCCACTGCACCTCTAAGCTCTTCATATGCAGCTAGTGATTATTATTCCCTTCCAAAGGACTCTCAGTGAAGTGGGGGAAGTATTTTATAATATTTTAGTTGAAGAAAATCCTGCATACTTACATTTCATCTCTTGAGAATTACTCCTCCACACTTTTAAAAGACATACAAAAAATATTCATAGGCTGACGGAGATTCTAAGATATTTCAATGCTTTTTGTCACTAATTTGCAGGGCAAGAGCCCATATGAGTCTTGCTCTTTTTCTGCATTTGTAATGCATGAAAAACCTCAGCTGTCACTAGAAAGTAGCAGAAGCTGTTTGAGAGGAAAAAGGCACTTGAAAGATGTGGAACTGACTGGCAGAGGTACAAAGCGACGCTTGTGTTCTCCACTCTGTGTCAGTTCATTGCCCTCATTTAGGTAGGGGAAAGTTAGATCCCCAAGCCTGTGCTAGCCTCCCTTGGCTTCCCTAGGAGGCCTGCAAGAGGCAATAACATTCAATGGCAGTAAAAACGGTAGGCATGTAAGAAGTCCCCCCAGCTGGGGATTCATTTCACACTGAAAGAGGGGCCTAATTGGATCAGATGAATGTGCTATCGAGGAACCCTACACCTCTCTTTCCTTTACTAAGAGAATCTAGAGAGACTATTTCTTTAGGTATGTGAAGTTAAGTGAGCTTTATTATCCCAGTGTGTGACCTTGGGTCTGTGTCTGTGCCCCTTTTACCCTTTGTCCCTATAGAGCAAATGTTCTTCAAGGGAAATCCTGATTTTTTACTCTCTCTGTATGTAGCATGTTTCAACTTCAGGACTGTTCTCAATCAGGGCTTTAGAAAAAAGTTATGTTATTTTTACTATTACCATTACTGTTGTTGAAAAGCAAAAGTCTGCAGCAAAATCCTGCTATCATTTGTCAAAAAAGTGGTGGTGGCAGGAGAAAATAGGACCCATTCAGTTTGCTCAAGGCAGAGCAAGATAAGATAGAATTTGATGCAGAAGAGGATGATGTCTGTCTGTCTCCCTGCTGCCCTGATCCCTTCCTGTCTCCTTCAGGATTAGAGAGTTCATTTAACTGCCTGCCAAATCAAAGCAGGGCATGGAAGGGGAGAGTGATGAGAAGTGAGGCATATTTATCACTTCTCAAACATGTGATCAGGATGCAGCCAGGGTGTGCATCTACTTAAACACAGACCTAATGGGAAAATGAAAAGATGTAATGTGACTTAGATTAATGTGTCTTAGATTTGTTGAAGTTAAGAGTTCTTCTAAGACAGAAACCAGCAGGTTGTTTTGAAGAAAAAAAAAAAAGGAATTATGCACATTGTTTTGAAAGAGCCTGGATGATGTCTTACCACAAAATTCAAGTATGTGTTATACTGTAGAGAATAGTCCTCTGAGAAGGAAGTTAGACAAGATGATTGTTCTTTGGAAGTTAGGAAGAATTTCTTCTTTTAAGAAGAGGAAACTGTCATTTTCCTACTTGTCTTAAAAATAAGTTAGATGAAATGATTTTGTACCTGTTATTGGATGTATCTTTATCCTTCTGCAATCTTAACTTATAAATTAGCAGCAGATAAAAGCTCTCCCTCAACTGAAGAGTGCAGCTTGTAGCATGATCTGTTGTGACCTCTAAGGGTTCAGGAAGTAGCTGAAGATATTATTGGGAATGAGATTCTTGCCAAGTGTTCAGCCATCTGAAAGCTGTTTTGTATGAACCAACTGCTTAAATTTCTTTTGTCAACAGTAAGAAACACTCAGATGGACACCTCACGTTCTCTGTGCTAAGGCAGATAGATTTGCCTTTTGGAGGGACCCATTCAAGAAGCCTAAACAGAGATCCCAAGTGACACAAATTAATTTATGTTGAAAAGAACCTCTTGCAGCAATCAAGCCTGACATTCCATTTAGAGCAGGGTTGTCTTCAAAGTTAGATCAGGAAACTCAGAGCCTTATTCAATCAAGTTTTTTAAATCTTCAGGAACTGATGTTCTGCAACATCTTTGGGTGCTTGTCCCAGTTTGACCAACTTCATTGTGAGAAATGTTTTTTTCTTTCCTTGTTTTCACCTGATATTGTCCTTGATGCAGTTTGTGGCTATTACATCTCATCTTGTCAAGCCTGTAGGTCTCTGAAAATCTATCCCCATCTTTTCTATAACTTCATTTAAAAAAATGAAGACTGGATTATTTTCTAGACTAAAATTCCCCAGCTGAATGAGCTGTTCTACTTGTTCTCCATTCTCCTAACCATTGTGGTGGTCATCACCTCAGTTTTTCAGTACATCTGTTTCACATGGGGACTCCAAACTGGACATAGCTTAGCACATATGATATCACGAGTGTTGAAAAAAGGGTGATAATAATATTTTCAAATCTAATGATGGTGTTCTTGCTAATGCAGCTTTGTATGAGGTTAATTTTAATTTTTGCAAGTCCTGCTTTAATTCTTTTAGACATAAAAGAACTTTTTTGTACTTTAAGGAAATTGTCTATGAGCAACAGCAGATTCTTCTGGGCCCTTTAACCTTTAAGGCAGCCTTTGCCCTTCAAGGCAGCCTCTCTTGGGATCTTGCCTACCAGTTCTCTGCACAGATTGCAGTGTGTTCTTCTAAGTTCTAGGTCTTATCTTTCATATTCCTCCTAGGATATTAACTTTTGCCATTCTGTGGCCATCATAACTACAATAAACACCATCTATCATTTTCCTGACCCATTTTTCCTTAATTGGGAGTAGCAAAACTTTGTAACCTTATTGACCACCTGAGTGCACAGGTAAAATTACACCTGCAAGACCTGTGAGGAAAAGTGAGTATCAGTTCAATGATACCCCAGTCAGTGACTTGAGTCCTGCCTTTGCAGCCTCATCTCCATGTCTGCAACATCAGAGGATGGTCCAATAGAAGCTATGGTGCTGAAAACTGTAAGAAGCCTTATAGGTGCTTCAAAGGTTATAGGAAAAGAAGGGAAATCTGCCATAAAATGATCTCTTAGAGTAGCCTTCAATAAAGTCCGTAATTACCTTGTACCTCTTTCTGCCTGGTAGTGGTGAAAACTGTCCTCTTGTACTGATGCCAATAAGCAATATACCAGGATGTGCACAGAGCATTACAGAAACACACCCTGGTGAAGAAACAAGATTAGAAGTATGACTGCTGCTTCCTGCCCTGCCAAAAGAGCGAAACAAGATGGCACTTTAGTTTGAGATCTACATGAGGACAAAAATCTGTTTTTAGAGACATGTACCTACTTCCATAACTTTTGCATGGGATCCTCTGCATGTACTTCAGCAGAGAATGCCAACCATTATTTTTAAATAAAGGTCACAACAGGCCAAGATAGGTGGTAGAATCAGAAATAAGGACAAGAACAGGAAAATGCATTTAATAAAAAAAATACACACACACACACACACACACAGAAGTTTTCCTTAAGTGAGATAAAGAGTTCTAAATTTCCAGGCATAAGTAAAAAGCTCACATCATTCTTTCCAGCACCTGTTGTCTTCGTGTCTGCATAGTAAAAGATTCATGCCATAAACAGCCATTCACCATTGACAAGTGAAAGGCATTTCTACGTGGGAAGAATCAGTACTAAAGGCCAGCAAACTGCTTCTTGAATTCACAGACATTTCTAAAGGTTCTGTATTCTTTCTCCTCTACAATATGCACAAGTATTTGTTTGAAAGAAATTCAAAAGAATGAATGTGAAAGACAGAAAAGAGTGACCTCAGAGAAGTCCGTGTCTTATCACACTGCACAGTGCTGTGTTTCAAACATGTGTGTTTATAAAAAAAAAGGAAAATGGAAAAAAAGAAAGAAAAAGGAGTAGGAGAGAAGTATTTATTTGTCTTAATCTCTCTCAGACATATTTCATGTTCTAGGAATAATTTCCCTCATCATTACTGATTCATGCAACTGCTGTTCTATTTTTTATTCACTAAAAGGCAAAGGCAAAAGGACGCCTGCACTCTGTGAAAAAGGTCTAAATGCCAAAAATGTAGAAATATATCACAGCACACACTGTTCTTAAAAATATTTGCTTCAAGAAATTGTGGATTTGTTTTTTTCAATCTCAGTAATTTTGTGTTGGAGCTTGCCTTTGAGAGTTCACAACATTTACAATAGATTGTCAGTGCAAGAGTGCAGGAGCAGATTTCTCAGGATAAATGTACTTTCAGTGAACTGTCTAAGAGCTTAACTCCCGTGAAGTCATAACTCTGTGAAAATTAGACAAAAGGAGAGCTAATGAATGAAATACTGATGGTGGCAACAGGACATGGTCAGTTTTTACTTAGCCTGATCCTATTGTTCAAGATATTTATTGAACATGCTAAGTAATATACGTATTAATTAGTCTCCATTAGCAGGTGATGAGAACCCTTAAATATTCCTTTAGTGCCTTAATTAAGAGGGTTTACATACTATTCCTTTCTTTTTCTTCCCTTTTAAGGAAGGACATTTATCTCTGCTTGACATACATTTCTTCTGAAAATTTCCATACCCGACAATTTGCCACTCACAGGTGTAACAGCTTGCTGTGAAATCACGCCCGATGGATGATAGATTCCCTGAAGTTGTTTCACCACTGGCAGCCCTGGCTTGCTATTTTGCACCTATATGGTGTTGATTCTAGTTTAACTACCTAAGTGTTGCTTCAGAGTGTCTGAAAACAAGGGGTGCCCATTTCTAGATTAAAGCACCTTTGATGCAGTTTTGTTTTAATGATAGATGCTTTTTACTAACTTCTCTACATAACTCTGCTCTACCCAGGATGCCAGAGGGCTTTCCAGATGTGCAAGGCCTGGTTATACTTACCTGCTGCTATAGTAAGGGAATATGCATCACTACTTTTGGAATTATTATTGTTTTGGACTGTTTTCCCTATGTAGAGATTAAATAGAGGACTAGTTTGAAAATGCATAGGCACAGCCAGTTGAAGAGGTAAATTCCAATGTCCTTGTGGATTTTGCCAGATTATTAATGTATCTTTCCAAATCTTAGTGCTATAATTTTTGTTCAAATTTTGAAACCTTGAACAAAATCCAGATATCTAATAACTCCATTTATGAATTTGTCCCAGAATCTTTCTACTTTTTTAATCAAAAGTTATTAGCTCTGTTTTGTTCTAATTTTCCTGTGTTGCCCACATTACCTGTTATCTTTAGATGTTCTGTTATAGGAATCTTCTGCTCAATTTGAATTATATTTAAAGAGTTTTTCAATTTAATTTCTTATTCTTCTTGTCTGGCCCTAAGGCAATCCTTCTCTCTGATTGTTTCAGTGGTTTTATGTTTAATACAAGCACAGTACTAAATTCCATCAAAATTGAGTTTTACTTAGGTAAAATACTTTCAAAATTGAATTTATGCCTCTTAGAGTTGAGTGTTGGGTTTTTTCAAACTTTGTTAGGAATTTGAACCTTAGCAAAAATGTAATCCTGGAAGTGTATTTCATAGACATGAAATGTGTCTGCCTCCTTCTTTATTTAGTTTTTCTACTATTATTTCAGCCTCCTAGAAATTGCAGATCCTTTGGGAATGTTTTGATTATGCCTCAGCCCTTTTTTTGTTGGTCTTCAAAAGATAATGTTTATAAGGATTGAGCCATGAGCTCTAACCTGTCAGATGTTCAGGATGTCTGTAAAGATGTTATATTTTGTCCATAAAGCAGTAGCAGAAAGATCACCGGGTTAAGCTGCTCCATCTAACCTGCCTGGTTTTGTCTGCATCACGTGAGGGTGTGAGGAAAAGAGCTGCTCCCTGGTAAATGGGCAGAAAGGGTGGGAAAGGAGGTTGTGTATGGAAAGGCAGCATCTCAGATTGGGGATGGGGAAAGGTAACCATCAAAGGTTACCAGGACATGTGGATATGGAAGCAAATCCCTGGCCATGGGTGTTTCCAAAGTGCACTTGTGCCACAAATATCACATTTGTTCAAGGTTGCATTGCAAGTATTTAGCAGGATGGAGAAGAGACCACAAATACCTTTGACTTAAAGCCTGTAACCTCAAGTTTGGCAGTGAGTGTTCCTAGGACTGTGCACTGAGTTGTGTTTTAATGAGGCACCTAAACATTCTGGGATGAAAATGTGATGGGGTGGTGCCCCTCAAGTATTTGATTGCTGGAATAGATGGTCCTGCTGTTGCCACTTTGCTGTGACAGCTGGAGCTCAGGGAGCAAATGGGTACAGGCTGAAGCATGCAAAAAATTTAGACTCGTGCCCTCAGTCCTACAGCAGATCTTCTTCTGGAGCATCTGTTCTGCAGGCTTGCATTTCTCAAGTGTCCACATTCCTCTAAAGTGAAATGAAATATTAGGAATGCAACTGATACTCTGGAAAGCACTTTCTTCTTATATCTCCTTCTGGTGTATAGTAACAAGGAGATTATCAAAGTTTGTAAGGACATGTGCTCCTATTACTATCATGTATAAACAATTCTAAGGCCTTTCAGAGGAGTGGTTTGGAAAAGGCTGTGAATTATGTGGTGGATTAATTTCAGGAAACTGTTGTATCCAATTTGAGGTTATTTCTAATAGCCTGCTTCATAGTTATTATTTAATTATTGTTGGGTTTTTTTCCTCTACCAAGACCTTCTTTTCAAAAGGCGGATGATTTTGAATTAAATACATTTGAATTTTTATGCAAAATATTTGAGTAGAATACTCTGAAATTTTGTGTTCCAAACACAGCCCTTTTCAAAAGAATAAAGAAGTAAATGCAGAGAGGTGAAGATAATAGAAAGATTTCCCACTCCTTTCTATATCTCATCCATAAAACTAATAAAAACAATTCCAGAGTTTGGGAAGCAAAAGTACATTTTTTTTTTCCCAGACTGTCCCATTCCATTCCCCCTCCTTCCCCCTCCTTGACCTCTGAATTCAAAACAGTAAATACCTGCATGAATTTTGTCACCAAAGTCTGCCTACCAGAACCAGATATCACCTTTGTCATGGGAGCATGCCCTTCAGTGCAGATCAGGAGCAAGATGGGGGTAGTGCTAGTTAAAGGAAGCCAAAGGCAAAACTTATCCAGTGGTGGCTGACAGTGCCATGCAGACAGGACCTCAGGCATTGGTGGCTTTTTAGGTAACACATTAAATGCACCCAGCATCTGTCTCACACTCTGTTGTTAAAACCTGATGCTTCTTTTCCAGGTGCCTTGTTTTCGCTGGTAGTCGTGATGTATGTCATCTGGGTCCAGGCCATGGCTGATCTGGAAAACTACACAAACATGAAAAAGATGGATTGCCCAGACTTTGCTGTTTATGTACGTTATGGCTGGTCGTTTATGCTGGCTCCTATAGGAGTATTTTTTGCTTTATTAGCAGGAATGCTGTTCTTGTTGGTAGGGCGTTACATTTATTTACACTCAGACTAGTCAGACACTGCTGAAGGGAATACAGCAACACTTGTGAAACTTTGTGACAAGTGAAAACTGGAACACAATTTTGTACATTATTACCATTATGGCAATCTTAAATGTGCAGGCAGACTTCTGGAAGTTCTTCTATTACTTGTTGAAGGGTAAGGGACACAAAACTCAGTACAGGAAGAAACAACCTTTAGTCCCAACTAGTTGTTTTTAATTCTTTAGAAAGTACACAAGTGGTTCTTCACATTGTACTATTAGCAGGACTTTTGTAGGTTAATAAACAGAAGACAAAATTTTTCTGCAAGGAAAACATGAACATGAATTGTCTCAAATCAACATTTCATACGTTTATCTTTTAGCATTTATACTGTTCTTCTGTTTATAGAGAATGGCATAAGGTAGAGGAGAAGGCAAACATTCAAACACAGTAATTCAATCTACCTCCTCTCCTGTTTTCCACTACTTGCCTCAGCTTTAATGGCAGCAAACATGTCTGCACTTTATAAAAATAGAGTGCAGTTGTTCGTGCAGCATCCATAGGAAGAGGACAAGAGAGAAGACAATTGCCATGAATGTGTAAAAGCTTAACTGTTCTATTACCCATTTCTCTTTTCTGTATGCATTTAAAAGCTGTATACTTCTGTATTCTGAAATCAATGTGTTGCATGATCCTGTAAGCCAAAATGCTTTCATTATCTGAAGTTATGCCAAAATTGTATTTTGAATTATAGCATTAATATTTTAATTAAGTTTTAACCCTTTTATTTTTAAGTGGAACAACTTGCTCCTCTAAAAATATTTTCATGGTTGTGTAAAATTAATTTTTTATTAAAAAAGGTTTATTATCAAGACAATATTTAGGATATGAAAATGTGTGTCTTGTGCAGCCTTCATTTTCCCACATGTTAAAAATGTGCATTATAGACCAAATCCAACTTGCCTACTAGGCTTGCTAAGGAAAGCAAAGAGCCTGGCTAAGACAGCCAGGGAGATGGATTTGGTACTGCTTTGTAGGAGTGGCTGGTTCTGTGTGTGTGTGTGCATGCACAACTGTGTGGAAGATGGGGTAAAGATGAGACTGCATGCATGGTATGGAAAAGATGGCGTTGAGTTTTAACAGTGGGGAAACTTTGTCTGGCATTGGGCCGAAATAGAAATTAAATCCATCTGAGTGTGTGCTGGTTTTCACTTTGTAACTCAATGCAGAATAGTTTGGGGCTGATGGGGAAAAGTAAAGGCTGCATGTCGGTTTGTTCTTGTTCATAATGCTTAATTCCACAGCTGTTATGAATACTGAAAGCATTGCTAAAAGGCAGGAAAGGAATGCCCACAGAGAAGATGTGGTGAACCAGATTGGATGGTATTCCATTTTGGGAGGTTTTGTGATTGGAAGCTTTCCAGCCTTTCCTGCTTCTTATGTATTTTTCCCTCATCAAGATTAGTGTAATACATTATAGAACAGGAAGACAACAAGAGTAGGAGGTAGGGAAACTGGGACTGTGAGGTTTAGAATAATTACCAATTCACAAAAATATTTTTATTGGCAAATAACATGTTGTTTTTAATTACTGTGCCAGAGAGTATGATGGGTGAATTTTAACCAAGTATTCATAAGCATATATATATATATGAACACCACATAAATGATAGCCATCCGGAGAACATTAGGGTTACACCATAATGCAGTTGGTTAGTCAGGAAATGCTGAAATTAACCCTGCTCGTTGTGCATATGGTATTATATTCCTGACCTTAATTACACAATCACATACTGTTTCTCAAATAATACATTCTGTTGGTTTTTGCCCTCTTTATAGTGTAGGACACTCACTGGTAATTGTGAAGGTAAACTCAATAATCAAGAGTTATGGACTAGGTACCCAATCCCAAACCCTGTCTGCTTCTCTGCAGGGGAGAGTCCTTCTCTACAAGAGCTTAAGGGAGCAATGTGCTTGAGCCACTTCCTTGCAGCTTTTGGAAGCTGGAGGAATTGAGAGGTGCCTCAGAGCTGGACCTCTTCCAGCTAACCCAACCATGTGTGCAGCAGCAACTAATAAACTCTGCAAGGATTGAGCCAAAGGCTCCCGTGGCGCCCTTAATTCAGCCCATGTGCATCTTCAGAACTCTCTCCATTATGCAGCTAAATTAGTTAAACTTTTGTGTGTGAGACATCCTCTCTTGGAGGCAACCCTTTGGGTCAGACTGTGGATGTAATGGCCGTCAAGATCCAAGGTATTTCTGTGGATTCCCTTGGAAATGTCTGGAAGCCTTTCCAACAACAGCAGAAATTTCTTGAGTCCTCATAAAATTTTTCACTCAAACTAATATATTGGCAGCGGTCTGTAGCTCTCTCAATTTGCTTTAATTGGATTCCCTCTCAGTGGCAGAACTGAAAGTCTGGTTCCTTCTGAAATGGTGGGGTTTGTTTGCTCCCTCCAAAAAAATGTATGTAGGTAAGCACGTGATATGTAATAAGTAGTTGCTGCAGACCAAGGAATAGTGTTAAGGGTGGAGAGGAGGCATTTCTGGATGATTATTGCCTAAAAGCACAGTTTAACTCTTGTTCTTCACATTTCATTAAAGAGCTATGTGCAGGGGAGTGGGTTTGTAACTTGGGGAAGACAGGCCAGTTAAGGAGACTTGCTTTGTGGCATTCTTCCAGATATGCTTTGTCTAGAAAATCCTTGGCAGGGATGCAGGGATTTTCATGAGAGCAGAATAAAATATTGTAAAGAGGATTAAATATGCTAATCAAAATATTCTGTGAAATTGGTCAAAGAACTGTGCCCCTCACAAATCCATAGGAGTTTGGTTGTTTTTTTTTTCCCTTAATAATTTCCTAGCTGGCTTAATAGGCTGTGATCATATTGGAAGAAAAGAGATTTATTTTTTAAGAAATGTGTTTGGAAGAGTGAGGAAGAAGAGTAAATAAGAAGCATTTTCTGATTACTTTCAATCTGTAAATCATCCATTTGCCCAGTGCAAACATGGGAAGGACTCTGACTGCCCGCAAAGGAGGCAGTGGGAAAACAAGGAGAAGGAGGTGAGAAAGGAGGGAGAAAAAGACAGGTGAGTGTCTCTCTGTTGATGCCATCTGCCAGACCCCTGTGCAGCTGTTGTTGATCCCTGGGGGATGCGCCAACACAATGTGGCAAAGGCAGCTGCGGACAAGACCAGTCAGAAAAGGATTTTCCCCATTTATTCTTTTAACTCATTTGGATGGCTCCTGTAGGTTTCACTGGAGCTGATCTTCATGAAATTTGTGGCTGTTTGTTGGCATTTACATTAATGAGGTAAAACAGTGTTCTTCTCTGAGGAAATGCCAAAAAAGGCCTGCTTTATTTCTCCTCAGAGTGCCTACCTGCTGCTGTTGAGACTGTACTCTGCAGTGTGCTAGTAAACTGCTAGTAAAACAGTTGTAGGTAGTGTCTATAGCTGTCTTCATTCCTGCAAAATCCTGGCTGTGAAGTATGTTGTGCTTATTATCTTTTACGAAGTCATATTGAACATCTTAAATGAGCTATTTACCTTCTGATGCAGCAGCTGGCTCTCCTCTGGCTCTCCTGTTCTTATTTGTCCTTTTGGCAGTGTGATTCCCAGGCAGCGAAGGCTAGATAAAGTATGTTCACATGAAATTCTGCTGTTAACGTACAGTAAGTCTGAACTGATGCAGCTGAAGTTGGGGGAGACACTCAAATTGAAAACAGAAGTCAGTCATCTATAATCAAAAGTGACAGAAGGGATGAAGAATCGCAAGTACTCACAGCACCACTTTTCCCTCTGTGTCTCTCACTCACATTACCAGTTTAAGACCAAAACTGGTCTGTCTTTCCAGTCCTTACGTGCCTTATCTACTCAGGAGACATATTTACAATAGTGGCCAGGAGAGCCATTTGACTTGAAGGTAAGAAGGAATGGAGGGCTGGCAGCAACTCCAGCATTAGACATCTCTAAACTGCAGCTGATTCTCTCCTGTGTCCCAAAGAGCCCAGAAGGGCCCCATGGAGTGCTGCAAGGCTTGACATTTTGCTGTGAGGGTAAGGAAAGGGCTTGGAGTACAAATCACCCCATGTTACTTGCTGTAGATCTGTTCCTTATCTATTCCTAAAATCTGGCAAGAATGCATTTGGTACAAACTAGGGAGGTGGGGGGATGGTGGTGGGATTGGGGGTTGGATGGTGGAGAGCAGCTCTGTGCAGGGAAAGTGCCTTTCACACTGAGAGGCAGCCACTCTATACTAGGTTAAATCAAGGGAACAGTCTCAGTGGTGTTACCTCACATTTGTCACACTGTTACTCCCCACCTTGTACCCGGGTACCTTAGGAGATGTTATCTGAAATGACCTGGACATCGTTCAGGTTTTAAACCAGTTAAGAGAAAGAGCTTAAATTAATGCATCTTTGAGTTGGAAGACGTTTAAACCAGAAAGAAACCCAGAAGGATAATGAAAAACGTTCCCCCCTCCTCTTCTATACCACATCAGATTGACTAATCCTCTGTTATGTGGCTTTACTTTGAAACAGATCATTCTCGTTACAACACGTTTAATGCTGCCAGCCACCACATGGTTATTTGGCAGCTATTTAAAGCTCAGATCATATTACTCTGTCGCAGTGCTAGGCACCCATGTTCCAACTGGTATACAACTGATCTAAAGAGAAATCAGCTTCAGGTTTTGTTCTCTGAAATTAAATGTGACGGCATGATCTCTATGATCCCTTTCCCCCCTTTTTCTCTCTCTCTTTTTTTTTTGGTTGTATGCATTATTACTTTTTGGAACAGCATTTTGCTAGCACCACAGGGGAAATTCAGTTAGGTTGTCAGCCTGATATAGTGTATTATCAGACACGTTAGCTTTTCCTCCCTCTTACATTTGCTTAAGAGCTTATAAACCACAGAGAATAAAAAGTGCTAAATAGAATGAAATGACCTGTCAAGGGTAGATATAGTATTTGTGAATGACTTAAAAAAATTCCAGCAGCTTCAAGCACTCCAGTCTCACTGACTGTCTGCGTTATCTTGAAATTTGGCCTCTTTCTTTATTCCTCCAAGTAAAGCTCTTTGATGGGCACTGATCTTTGATGATTCTGTCTTGAAACGACTAATTTTGTCTTCTCACATTCAGTCCAGGGTGAGATTTTGAAGCAGGAGAGGATATCTTTATGAGATTTGAAATAGATTTGAAACCTGCTCTTAATATCATAAGACTAATCTTGAATTTTACAAAACATTGAACAAAGTCAAGAAAAGCTAGTTCCAAGAAGAATTAACCAATAAATACACTGTATTTAGTAGGGAATTTAGTTATTCTGTTAATCTAAAACAGGATAATTTTCCATGGAAAACAAAGTGACTGATCTCATGCCCAGCTCATTGTGAACTCTGAAAGATGTATCAATTCAGGAGCTGAAGTGATCAGCTTGCATTTAACCTCTCTCAGGAAATATGGGATAGCGCTTTCAAAGAAGCTCCAGTGAATCTTGATTAGGGAACTGAAGTTTTTAATGTAATCGTTTTTTTACTCCTATTTTCTGACATCCTGCCCATTTGTACGTCATCATCCTCCCCCTCCCCTCCCCCCTGCAATTATGAAAAAATCTTTTCAGGGTTTAAATCTTTGCCCTGAACTTTAAATAACAAGTTGCTAGTCAAAGCAATATGTACATCATATTCCTATATGTTCTGGGACTAATGCTAAGTATCTTGGTTCTTTGGCATGTACAGCACATAATCCAGCACAAGAGCACCCTTTCAGCCTTCCCTGAGAAGCAGGCTTTAGGGAGGGAAGTGTTAAGCTTCCCTTGAAGCACCTCAGCCTTTGAGGCACTGGTGTGCTGTACCATGC